AGCGACAGCGCATCGGACATCACCTCATCGGACACAAGCACGACCACCGGTAGCCCAACAGGCGAGGGTCCCGCCAGCGACAGACCGGCTAACCAGGACACCGACATGGCGTTGGCCGAACACCTTGAAATCGAGCTATCCTCGGACGAGGAACAACCACCGCAGGCGTCGACGGGCCCGTGAGCAATTTTCCCGCCAGGACCCGGCGGAATAGCGCTGTATGAGGCCGACCTGCGGACACTGACAGGACCCTATTGGGTGACAGACACAGTCATCGATGCCTGGGCAAAGGGCCTGGAAGCCACGCTCAACATACGAGGTACCGTACTCAGCACATTCGTTGTCTGGCAATTGAGCAAACCCGACAGGGGAGAGAATTATCAGCGCATCCACCGGTGGCTACGCCACACCGACCTTTTCGGCCAACGGGTTGTCCTCGCGCCACACAATGTCTCGAACCATTGGTACCTGCTCGCCCTCGCCAACCAGGAGATGACCCACCACATAACAGATAGCGAGTGTTGGCACGACATCAACATTTGGGTGGCCGACTCCAGGAAAGTAGGAAGGGTGACACACGCGGTAGAGGAATGGCGAGAGTTTCTCCGGTGGGAATACCAGCAGCGACATCAGCGGGAGGCCCCCCACATACGGGAGGTACATCTGGAGGTACCACAGCAGACCAACGATAACGACTGCGGAATATACGTGGTGGAAACTATCGAGAGGGTGCTGAGATACGTCGGACGCGGAGAAGGAGGGCCGGGGTGTATATCAGGCCCGTTCACGGCGACCATGGCGGCGCAAAAACGCGCGCACATGCTGAGGGTATTCCAGCAACCACCGGAGGCAGGAACATCACCGCCACCACCACGACCCACGGATCCTCCAGAGGCAACAACACCACTACCCTCACCGCCACACACACCAGTACCACCAGAGGTAGCACCACTGTCAGCGTCACCCCCCCGAACACCAGCACCGACTGAAGCAGTATCACAACCACAATGTTCGTCAACCCCACCAATGGGACAAACGGTAATCCTCGCCGATGAAATCGACGGGCCAGCACTAGACCAGTTCCCGGAGATCGCCGAGAGGGCCCGGAAGGCTATACGCGACATAGCAGAGGGAACCTGCGCGTCCTGTGTGAGGTTCCGCGCGGGAGGATACCGAGTCAACGTATACCGGTGGGGCGCAAGTATAGTTCAGAAACATCCCAAGCCTTAAGCCTGCCGAAGAGGGGGGAAAGTGTGAGGACTAAATATCCGCGGAATTTAGCCCACACGAGCACAAACC